CTCCACACTGCTTCAGTTGTGAGTGAACACGGAGGCATGAAGCCCACTGGCCATACGATTCGACAATCTCTTTGCCCAACTGTGAACCAGATAAGGAAAAAGCCACTCAAAAAAGCGTTTGGTTTTTTTTATATATATATATGGAAAACATATTTTTACAGGCTTTTGTATTGGCCTTTATTGCAACAACAAAGTGTCTCTGAGACAGCACTTTCAAATTAAAGAAAGCAGCAAATATTGGTGTGAAACCAACTTAAGAGTATATGTTTTGTTTGTGGCATTGGATTGAGTTTGAAATTTCTCAAATGAGCTCTGGTGATGGCCTCGCTTCAGCTTGTGAGAATGTCAAAAAATTGCAAACAAATGAATGACAGAAGGTTATGCTTTTTGAAAGATTTCAGTTGAGCTTTTGTTTTTTTTTTGTTTGTTTTTTCCTTTTGTAAGTAGACTAATGCTGTCCCCTGTAAAAGTAAACAAGGCCAGTGTTTCTTTGTGTATCTCTTGTGTGAAAAAGAGCAGGGAGTGCAGAAGGTGTTGGTGTACATGCGTGCATGTGGACAATCCTAAGCACTGTGATGCTTTCCTCTACCCTGGGGAAAGGCTCCACAGTGTCACTGCTGCCCATACTCGGTGGCTGAGCAAGGAGGGCCAGGTGGTGGTGCCGAGTGCAGCACAGTCAAGCGTGGACGCAGCGCATGCTGACATTTGCCTTCGCTGACTGCTGCAGGGAGAGGAAAAATCTGCTTTTCCATATGCTTGTGCTCGTTGCAACCCTTCCCTCCACCCACTGCCCCCCTCCATCCCACTGCCCCATTCTGCCCCCCTCTCCCTAGTCTTAACCAGATGGCTCCCTGAACATTGTTTACCTTGGGTGACGGTCCCAGATGCAGAGTGTGTCCATCGGCATCCCCATTCCGCCTAGTTAGTTTCCTCATTCCTCTGCTCTCTCTTAGAGGAAGTGCCAGTTGCAGCTCTTACACTCAAGTTACATTAGGTCTGTTAATTTTGTCGATCCTCTCACAAACACCACAAGAAGACGCACTCATTTACACACTCATTCTCTCTCTCAATTACTTTCTCTTCTGCTCAGTTGTTCACACTTGGGTAAACACATCTCTTCACACCTTCCCAGCCTCACACCAAATCCAGAAATACACAGTTTGTTTTCTCAATCAGGGCTGCAGTCTTTCCCCATCTCCACTTGTTTTCCGTGCACTTTGCATGTTGACATATGGGTGCTCCCTTATGGCTGCATATTGAAGATGGAAATAGGCCTCCAGATGTTGCCAGCACAGAGGGCCAGATGCATTTAGCACCACTGGGTGGAGCGTCACAAAAGCATGTTGTCCCAACAAGCTGAACCTCACCCCGTCTTAGTCCCAAAACTACAAGACAAGCCCAAAAAGTCTCCCTTCATTTCTCATCAGTGCTGAAAATTTTTCAGTTCAGTGTAAGTTTACAGCAACACAATTGGTGCAGGCATGAAAAATGTGATAATGCAGCAGACCTGAAAGAGAGTATGAACTTTATGTGTATGTATGAACGCCCAACTGTGGCTTTTCTTCTCAAATCTGTTGAACAGAAAAGTTGCCCTTTTATCCCCATTCCTTTGAGTGAATTTGATTTAGTATAAAATGCAAATTGGCAGGCCACGAGTGAAAAGCCCACAGTTCACATTCCAGCGACTGTGACCAGGGCACTGCAGCTAATGTCCTTGGCCTTGAAGAGGAAAAGCTCACAGGGTAGCGGCCAGCAGTAGAGTTACCACTGCTGTAGGTTGAATAGCTTTTTCAATAAGTGTGCAAGGAGTGGTTCTATTAATTGAATATATTCAAGGGCAAGGCCATTGTATATTGAGGAGAAGAACGGTGAGAGTAAAGGTGCAGGTTATTATGATGATTATGATGGTTTACGGTTCAATTGAATTTCCTTAGTTTGGACATAAGCGGGTTCAGGCCAGCGACCTCGCTGCCAGCCTGCTCTCTTGACTGGCTTATATGGGTGAAGTGCTCATGGACCAAACTCTTTTTGTGTTTACCAGCATTTAATTGATTTCTCTACAGCCTGTAGGCCTTAAGGTACTGCCATCAGTCCCGAACTTGCCATTTTGTGCTGATATGTCTTATTATCTGCTTACTACAAAGGAACTCATAGTTTCATTTACTACACAGCAGACCCACTGAATTCTTTCAGGAATGATAACAATTTCATCAATCATTGTAGCTGTACATCATTGATATGAATGAAAATATACATCGTCCCTTGACTTCCACTTTCTGTTATATATTAAAGAAGAATTTGAGGGGTTTTTTTTTACCTTGTCATGTGGCTATACGGTTGCGAGTGAGCAGTAACTTTTGTGCAGTCTCCTCGCAGTGTATTCACAGATGCTCCGGTGTTTGAGATCTCCAACCACTCTAGGGAAGAAAAAAAAAACGATTTTCAATGTACTAAAGCGTTTAAATCTCTGCAATTTCCATCCAATCTGGAAAGATTATCAATCCAAACAATTTATGGAGCAGCAAATGGTTGGCAATATTGGAAAATATTTAATAGGTTTAAACATCGTGAACTTGTACCAGAACGATTAAGAACATTTATAATTCAGAATATTGTGTAAAACAATCATCAGAATATCTATGCAATTTTACATTCTTAATGAAAGACAGGTAGTTCTTTCTTAGTCCTACCAAGGTAATATTAATCAGATATTGATAATTTGGTATATTTTAAGCAATCCATGTGTCTTTCATTCAGTATTTATCAAGTAGTGATTTTAACTGAAACTGCTGCAGCCAGCCTGTGGACCCTTTTTTATGTTTGTTCGATGACATCTCGGCAAATACCAGTAGGTTACTGTATGTTGTGCCACAGAGATCAGGGGGACCATGTATTACTATACTGAGCTTGTCTTGTGTCATAGAGCTCATGATATCCTGCAGGAAGCGAAATGGTTGGGTTTTTTTTTTGTCATCTTAGTGCAATGCACTAACTGCACATGCAGCCTGTTGCAGCTGCTTCCCTCCAGAGATCAATAAAGTATTTCTTAGTCTGATTTTCTGGATCCGTCAAACTTCTCTAATATCCAGGGCTTGAAGTTCTCCGGCACGGTGCTGGATTTCCGGCGCAGGCACAAGTGCAGCACCCAGCAGCAGAGGCAGTTTTCAATCGCGCCCATGTTAACCTATCTGACTGACTGTCCACACAGGCCGCTGAGCAAAGCGGAGCGCCCACGGAGGCTCACGCACTGCAGTGCTTCAGTTCGGCGTCTGGTCTATTTTTCACACGAGCTGCGAGCGCTTCTGTTAAGCTGGATAGAGCGGATCGTACCAAACAGGAAGTCAGACACAGAAAAGACGAGAGAATCCGGCCAATTTTAAAAATAAAATACATTTTAAAAATAAAAGCCTGTTTAATTATGATGTTGCTTGTCCGTCTATAAATATTTGTTCAGTTTGGTCTAGACACGAGAGAGATGAAAACACACACACACACACACACACACACACACACACACACACACAGAAAGAGAGAGAGAGAGAGAGAGAGAGAGAGAGAGAGAGAAAAATGGCTACAGGTTGGGGGCTGCAATTCAGAGAGATAGAAGATGCCCCTTGATGTCAAAGGTCGTGAGTTCAAGCCTCAACTGATGTAAAATGTGGCATGCCCCTGGACCCCCCTAGCGCAGAAGGCCCTTTAAATTAATATTACTTTTTTTAACTAAATGATCTATAATTTGTCAGCAACGTGTTTCATCTCTACTTTTATATCTAAAATTTGTAGCAGTGTTTTAGTAGATTCCACTCTAAGTGAGGTTGCATATTTTGTTCTACATTGTGTATTATCTGTTGTTGCTTTTTCTGACTTAATTGTACTTGAAGTCTGCTCTGTGAATGTGTAGGCTGTCACTGGACAACAATGTGAATATTAGAACAGGAGTCTCTATCAGCAGATACTTCATGTAAATGAGTCTACTTAGGCTCATAGGCAAAAAACCTAATGACGGCATTTGTAACTTGTTGCACAAAAACCACTGCTCAAAGCCAATGTAACTTTTTGCCTCTTCTGACCATTATTACACTTGGATAACAATGAAAAATTTTGGAAAACGTGAAATATCAATTATCTGTTCAATAGTGAGGGTGTGGCAGCAAAGAGTTGATGTTTGACCCAAAACTGGAACTTAAATCTTGCGGACAGGTAGAAAACACATCATTTATTTTAGTTCAACAAATTTTGTGCATTAGGATTTGAACCCTCTTCTACTCTAGTCTCCATATACAGGCTTCCTTGCAAGTTAGCCAAACAGTAATGACTAACACATGTCAGTGACATATTTATTGGTATTTAGTCAGTATAGTGTTGGCTTTTTTTGTGAGCTGCTGCCATGTCCTCAGCTCACACAGCGACACTACCTACTCTATACTGTCCCCAGCAGACTATCTGTATGTGACTGTCAGCTTCTGACCATCTGCGTCTGAGTTTCTGTTTAAGGTTAGTTTTCATTGGTGATCAGGAGTAACAGCTGGCTGTGGACAGCCATCTCTTCTAACCCCAGCCCCCACCCCTTCCCTACTAACCAGCGGAAACTTCTACAGCTGTCATCTGCTTTCCCAAATGACCCAGCTTTCCTTCCAGCTGCCATCCTAGCACCGTGCTCCCAGCCCCAGTCTTGCTTCAAGGCTAAGTCCAGTGTTTTCTGTATCCTGCTGCAATCTCAATTTAAGGGAGGCAGACTTCTATCCTCAGTCTCAGCCAAATTGCCAACTCAGCCACCATCTCAGCTCAGTCTTTCAGCTTGGCTGCCAAGTCTTGTTATCCAGAAATAACCTAGAAGTAAAGGCCAAATCCACATTTTAAAAACTGAATCTTTTTGTCAAATTCAAAGACTAATATTTGTAGTTTCCAGTCTTGTATATCTCTTGAATCTTTTCTCCAGTAGACATTTTTGAGTCTGCACTGCTGTGCATCACTAACCTGTTTTGTTTTGTATGTTGCAGGAGCATCACCTAAGATCATTAAGCTGCAAGAGGAACCATCAGACTATGCTGACCCACCCAAAGGCAAGAGTCCAGCCATCAACAGCACCTTGGTCCCTGTCAAAGGCATCAATAACCTCGGTAACACATGCTTCTTCAACGCTGTTATGCAGGTTGGTATATGGTTCAAACATAAATATTTTCTGTGCATGTGTTTCTATAATGCATTTTGTAGTAGAAGATTAAATACCATAGGAATTAACAAAGGGTTGGTGTGATTAAAGGTATCACTATCAATCTGAAGCATGATCTCATTATTTTTTTAAGTTGGATGTCTCACTGCACATAGCCTTGCGAGCTTGCAAGCTTTGTCTCAAGTGACCTTAGACGCAGGGATTTACATTCTAACATGACAATATGAATATGTATGCATTCACAATGTGAAAACACTTCTCAAGTGCTGCCTCTGATGAGTCTGGCCTATAGTAAACCAGAATGCATTCTTACAATGACTGTGAGTGTAAACAGGCTTGGCCTTGAGGTCATTTTGAAGTATATCCAATGCAGCAGTAAATGCAGTGCCGGCTTGGATACGCTCACCTTCCCATACACGAGTGGCTCTCAGTTGGTGCAGAGCATGTTCACCATACAACACAGCTGTAGAACCCTGCCAGTCTTTCTCTGGTCGTGTCATGGTGACTGCAAACCAACATGCCTCTTCAACAATGAAGCTGTTTTTTTTTCCGCCATTTTGTTAATCACCCTCAGGGCCCTCCTTGTTGATTGAAATTTGAGTGAGCTCGCTTTATATGCTTTTCCCTCCCTCTCCCTGTCTGTTTGTATTGTCTCCTTGAAAATTGCAATCTTTTCGGTGAAAACACATAATTGTCAGAGGACGGGCTGTGTCTGCGCTCACAATGCCAGCTCCATTGTGTGTTTTCCATAGCAACTGTCTTCATTGCCAGGATGTGACAAAACAAATATCTCTTGAAAGGGAAGGAAAAGATGTTTCTCTAACATGAAGGGACAATGACTGCTTCAGGCTATCTCCTCACCAAGGATCTTCTCTACATTTCAAACTCACAGATCATAGATAGATTTGAAAGCCTCTTTCAGAATAATGAACTCACCACAAGTTTCCTAAATCCTTCCACAATGGAGATAACATTTCACACAGGTATTTTAATTGACCACAGTGGATTGCCACAAGCTAAGTGTAAATACAGTTTAATATCTTTGAAGGATTGTGACTTTTTTTTGTCCACAAATTGGTGTTGGGTGTTTTCATTTGATGAATAGTAAAATCAGACCAATTCGATGATCCAGTGATTCAATAGTATTTAGCAGCTTAGCATTTGTTGATGTTATACCATACCTGATGATACCTTTACCTAATACCATTCAATGCATCGACTGATTAAAATGGTAAATGCATTGTTAGTAAAACAGTCTGAAAATAATGTTCTCCCCACAGAACCTGTCTCAGACACACATGCTCATCGACCTCATCCAGGAAGTAAAGGACAAAGGCTACAAACTGAGGATCAGCCCCTCCGTCGATACCAATGTGGTACAATTTACTGTTCATCTCTTCTACTTTCCTGGAGCTGTAGTCTCCTCCAGACTAAACAATAGACTGAGCAAATTTAAATGACTTTGTCTTTGAAATTCTGATTTTAATGCTGTACCTGTCTGACTCATTGTGCCCTGTTGTATTTGTTACATTCATGCGATCAATGACAATTGACTCAAAAAAGCAACTGAAAATAAATGGTTTTAGTTAATTACAAATGCATATGTAAAGTTAATTCTTTTCTTTTTTTGGCAACTTTAAATTTAAATAAACAAAATCAACTGTCAGTTGTCCAAAACTGTCATTACATACATTATTTTGACACATTAACAGGGCGCGACAGTAATAATTGCCAGGTTGCCATTGGCAACCAATTCTCGGCCTTTGGTTGCCATTAGTGGTAATCACAATTTAAACACTAAAGGTAAAGACAACAAACAGCAAAACATGGACTCCAAAATAAATAAATTCTTAACATTTTTTGCATTAGTGATATTTCATATTGCTGTTACAGTCACAAATGGAACCAGACAGTGCTGCACGTGTGTTAATGCTAGTTGTGTATGCACAGGCATCTGTTTTAGAGATAATGACGGAGCAAATTAAGTTGCTTGACTGTAGGTTTGAAAGTTCAACTAACCTGTCATTAAAGACATTCTTTTAGGACACATTTTCATTATTAAGCTGACATAATTGCATAGTATCTTAATCACTCAAAATATGATGTGACTAAAAATGCAACCATATTTTCAGTTTTGGCAACCAAAAGCTGATGCCTGTTTGCCAGCCTGGCAACCAGTTTTAAAGTTAGTGTTCAGCCCTACATTAAGTGATAGCTGGATCCTGTTTTGTTAATGTCTTTTGAAATTAAGAAATAAATGTCTTATTTTTATTCCAGAGTCCACTGACAGTTACGCTGCCTGGTCCAGAGCCCCTGACTGCGGCCATGTTTCTCTTCCTCCAGAGCATGAAAGAACCAGGGAAAGGCCCGGTCAACCCCAAAATCCTCTTCAACCAGCTCTGCCAAAAGTAAAGCGCTACTCTTCATGTCAGCTGCCAAAAAAAAAAATCACCCACGATGTTGATACTTGCTTCAGACTCTGTATATAAATATTTTATCTCAGGGTTGCTGTAGCCGTCAGACTGTGCCATAATTGTTAGTGTTGCAGTTCTCCATCATCACAGCAGCAGTTTACAATACAGGAGCCACAGCTTTCACCTGCTTTCGTCCCCTCACTGTGGTGATGACCGCTGTAACCAGCCAGACCCAGGTAGCACCTGGTCCCAGCTGAATGCCTTTCACACACTCTGAGCTCAACATACACTAAACACACTACAAGCACTGTACCTTGTTAAATGTGTAGCAGCAGCAGCTACCTATTTGTAGCTCTATCTGCTACTTGCCACACTGCTGTGCCACCTGTGTCATATTTGATCCAGAGCAAGGTCTAACAGGCTGTATGACAGGCAGAAACAGCCCCACAACTGTGAACTGAACAGTTGTTTTGTTCTCTTTTATGAACAGTGTGAATGTTTGGTTGGCTGGGTTCTTGTTTGAGCATGGTACACTGCTGGTTGGGCCCACCCTGTGCGTGTGTATGGGAGTGGGGGTTCTTGCACTGTTTAGTAGTGCAGGTGGGTGACCAGGGCATTTGACATTGGATGACTGGGTACATCTCTGGTGCGGCTTTGACAGTTATTCTGGTACCTAGCTTTCATCAGAAAGGCCTCTGTGTGTGTGTGTGTGTGTGTGTGTGTGTGTCTGTGTGTCTGTGTGTCTGTGTGTGTGTGTGTGTGTCGGCTGCCACCTCACCTGGTACTGCCTCAGCCTGCTACACACATGCAGGCAATTGTGCATTCAGACAGCAAGCGTTGCGCACACCTTTATGCATTCATACGCTGCTAATTTCAAGTAGGGCTAATCTATTCCACTGACATGCATTTGAATAGAGATATATGACTTTAAGCCACAGCACCCATTACCCATATGGTACACTTATACCACAGGTGAACTTTTATTAAGGCCAGTAAATGCAGATATGCAGCCAATATCCACTTACATAATTTTCAATGATCAAATGGTAGGAGACAACAAATTTATTAACTATACATACAGTACAGGCCAAAAGTTTGGACAAACCTTCTCATTCAATGCGTTTTCTTTATTTTCATGACTATTTACATTGTAGATTCTCACTGAAGGCATCAAAACTATGAATGAACACATGTGGAGTTATGTACTTAACAAAAAAAGGTGAAATAACTGAAAACATGTTTTATATTCTAGTTTCTTCAAAATAGCCACCCTTTGCTCTGATTACTGCTTTGCACACTCTTGGCATTCTCTCCATGAGCTTCAAGAGGTAGTCACCTGAAATGGTTTCCACTTCACAGGTGTGCCTTATCAGGGTTAATTAGTGGAATTTCTTGCTTTATCAATGGGGTTGGGACCATCAGTTGTGTTGTGCAGAAGTCAGGTTAATACACAGCCGACAGCCCTATTGGACAACTGTTAAAATTCATATTATGGCAAGAACCAATCAGCTAACTAAAGAAAAACGAGTGGCCATCATTACTTTAAGAAATGAAGGTCAGTCAGTCCGGAAAATTGCAAAAACTTTAAATGTGTCCCCAAGTGGAGTCGCAAAAACCATCAAGCGCTACAACGAAACTGGCACACATGAGGACCGACCCAGGAAAGGAAGACCAAGAGTCACCTCTGCTTCTGAGGATAAGTTCATCCGAGTCACCAGCCTCAGAAATCGCAAGTTAACAGCAGCTCAGATCAGAGACCAGATGAATGCCACACAGAGTTCTAGCAGCAGACCCATCTCTAGAACAACTGTTAAGAGGAGACTGCGCCAATCAGGCCTTCATGGTCAAATAGCTGCTAGGAAACCACTGCTAAGGAGAGGCAACAAGCAGAAGAGATTTGTTTGGGCCAAGAAACACAAGGAATGGACATTAGACCAGTGGAAATCTGTGCTTTGGTCTGATGAGTCCAAATTTGAGATCTTTGGTTCCAACCGCCGTGTCTTTGTGAGACGCAGAAAAGGTGAACGGATGGATTCCACATGCCTGGTTCCCACTGTGAAGCATGGAGGAGGAGGTGTGATGGTGTGGGGGTGTTTTGCTGGTGACACTGTTGGGGATTTATTCAAAATTGAAGGCACACTGAACCAGCATGGCTACCACAGCATCCTGCAGCGACATGCCATCCCATCCGGTTTGCGTTTAGTTGGACGATCATTTATTTTTCAACAGGACAATGACCCCAAACACACCTCCAGGCTGTGTAAGGGCTATTTGACCAAGAAGGAGAGTGATGGAGTGCTGCGGCAGATGACCTGGCCTCCACAGTCACCGGACCTGAACCCAATCGAGATGGTTTGGGGTGAGCTGGACCGCAGAGTGAAGGCAAAGGGGCCAACAAGTGCTAAACACCTCTGGGAACTCCTTCAAGACTGTTGGAAAACCATTTCAGGTGACTACCTCTTGAAGCTCATGGAGAGAATGCCAAGAGTGTGCAAAGCAGTAATCAGAGCAAAGGGTGGCTATTTTGAAGAAACTAGAATATAAAACATGTTTTCAGTTATTTCACCATTTTTTGTTAAGCACATAACTCCACATGTGTTCATTCATAGTTTTGATGCCTTCAGTGAGAATCTACAATGTAAATAGTCATGAAAATAAAGAAAACGCATTGAATGAGAAGGTGTGTCCAAACTTTTGGCCTGTACTGTATTTGCGTAGGTGTAGAGCTCTATTGCCTAGTGAACTGACAAAAAAATAAATAAAAAACAATATTTTTACTTTTTTTAAAAATGCAGAGAAAGAACCAAGAAATCTCACACACTATTGAACACTTAAGCTCATTTCAGTTACTTTCATCTTTATAGGAGCTGCAAGCATCCAGGTATATATGGGATGATCAAATTCCCTGAGCATCTTTTACCAAGAATTAAAAAGTGGTGGCTTTGTTATGGGGGACCTCGTTAATTCTTTTAAAAAGAGCTCTGATTCCAACACACCAGGTAACCAATCCACGAAAGTTGTTGCGCACCAAAAAGTCTGCGTTAGATGAAAGGGAAAGGTTGAAAGTACCGAGAAAAGAAAGGCCCTGACACACAGTCATAGAAGCATATTGTGCAGTAGATTAAAAGATACCATAAAATTGTGGCTAATTAATCTGATGTACGATCTAAACATTGTAAACTTGTTTTAACAACTTTGAGGAAATTCTGATTTATAAACTGATGTTCATCACGATTTCAGCTGCTTTTTCTGATTTACATGAAAGAACTGGGGAGTAATCGCATTTTCAAGGCCTTATTCACTTAAATGCTATTTCCTTTAACACCCACAAAGTGTACATGATTGTGGCAGCTTTTTGAACTTGCCTGACCCCTCACATGCTTCTCTGAAAGACTCCTCCACACAGCAACTCATCTACATTCAGTTAGGTCTGAAGCTTTAAGCTGGAAGGACAGGGTCAAGAACTACTTCTGTTTACTGGGAAATTTTTCTCCATTTTAGTGACCTTTTGTGATGGGTACACGCTGTTAATATAGCCTATCATTCTCACTTGTCACTGCAAGCTATTGTCACTCCAAGAGGTTTGGATCTGCCCTTGGCCTGTGGGGGCTGAGAACGCTTTTCCATTTCTCTTTCATTGTCTTTCCTAGTATGTTGGTGCTGACAGACAGGTTAAAGGCACTGGAGGCCGATTGAGCCCAATTTTGTGTGAGTGTATGTGTGCGTTTCTGTGCACAATGCATTTGACCTCACCCAGCTGAGTACCCCACAGGCTGCTTCTTCCTCCTGCCAGCGGAAAGGGGCTGGTCTGGGCTCGGACTATTGCCAAGTTATGTGGGTTGGATGGTTAGCACCACACACTCTATCTGGTGCCAGAGAGGGTCCCAGCTTGTACCCAGGCCTTGTTTTACTATAAAGCTCATCAGTGGTGTCAAGACAGGGGAATAAAGACACAAATATTCATCTTTTTTCTCCTGGGCACCTGGAGTCTGAGGTCAGGGACAGTGGTTTTCATACAGCGCATCTACTTCTACTATTTATTGAGAATAGGATGCATTCTCTATGCATTTCCAATGCATAAGCTGGACAAAAAGGCCACACAGAGGCATTCATCTACACCTGCCTCTTTCAAGGACTGATTCAATTTTCAGGACGGCCAGTGGACACTTTCTTGTATTGCAAAAGATGAAAAGTATGCTGGCTCTCAGCTCCGTCCATGTGCTGCGTATAAATGTCCACATACCCACATCTTTCAAATTTTGGTTCATAAGCCTTTATGAGAAGCCTTACATCCCTGATAGAAATAGCAGAGGACAACAATAGATTCCATCTCGTTCTCTGGAATCCTGGACACACACACACCTATACTGACACACAAGCAGTACACACACACAAAGAAACAGGGTCGGCATACTGGTCTGCCCAGGATGAAGACCTTTTTCAGGTTGAAGAAAAGAGGCAGATATTCATAGTTGGTTACAAAAGTAATACAAACATTGGTTTACGTGCGCGTGCTGAGCCGAGAGCCGCAGTCTGGGAATTCTGACTTTACAGTCCATCCATCCAATCCATTCACTCCGGTCTACCTGTGAATGTTTGGAAACCTGAAAATAAGGATGTTGTCAGCCTCTTTATGTCTGAAATACAAAGAAATAATACCTGTGCAAATGAGCACAAGTTGATGAAGACATTGTTTACTAAGTGGTGCATGAAGCATCTCCTCAGGCTGGTGTTGATTTTTTGTCTCTCAGTCTTGCAAAACCTTACCAAACAGTACCATGTAATTAGAAAGAGACAGAGAAGTCAAGGTGGCATATAATTATCCTCACTTCAAAATGAGCAAGTTGCAGCAAAAGAGACAAATATCAGTCCAGTAAAAAAAACTGTCAGCTGAACCAAAAGGCTTATTTCATTACTCCCCTAAAAATAGGACAAAAGATAGTATTGTCTACATATTATGCCATATCATTGTGCTCTGTCTGGCTGTGTAGAAGGACAACATGCATCAAACCAAACACGACTCAGGCATCAGTAGTAACCACAGTCTTGCAGGGTATGTGTTTGCATTCATTTAAAGAAAGGAAACTAAAAAGAAGTATAAATAGAACTGTACCCATCTCCGAATGATGTCAGTTGAATCGGATTTGGTTGTTCAGTACCACAGTTCAACTATGCGTTCCTTTTTTTATGTACAGATTTTGAGAGTTTGAACAGGGTTTAGAAGGACTGATAATTCAAATCCTCGTCTTTCAGGGGACAGCCCTTCCATAAAATAAAAGAAACATTTGAAAAGGGTTTTTTGATGGACCAGAGGTTAATAGAGACAGTCTGGTCTACTGAACATTTTGATTATAAAAGGAAAAACTATTCAATTAAATGTATTAGCATTTAAACCTAAGAGGGCTTTGATTTCAGGTTGCGGTTGGCATACAAGCTTTTAAATACACCAGCATCTCATAATATAGCTTGCGTCAATATGACTTTGCATTTTTCATCCTTTGATATCTGTCACATAGCAACATATTCAGCCAGTAAACATGTAATGTACAATTTATTCTCTCTTAGTCGCCTGGGTGAGAGGTGGGAGTTTTATTGTTGGTAAGGATAAATGGTACAGTGACAGTCAGTCAGATAAGTGGAACAAATGTAGAATAGTTGCAATATACATTTTTTTGAGCATATTGCAACTCATTGAGTCATAGTTAAATTTCTTATGCCTATGTGTGAGTAAATGCTGATGAATTTAATATGTGAACTGTGTGCGGGTGCATTGTGTTGCTCATACAGTAGGTGTGTGTGTGTGTGTTTGGGGGGGGGGGGGGAGCTTGTGTGGCCTTGTGTCTGGTACTAAGTCATCCGGCTATTAATTGTGTTAGCACCGCAGCTGTTTGCATTGGCCAGATTGAGAGCAGCGCTACAGGGCCCTTCTGCTTCTCTCCACTGGGATGAGCTTCCAGACCTCCTCATTCCCACTGATCCCAATCAACCTTTTAATTTTTTTTTTCTCTCTATACTTCTCTGTGTCTGTCTCTCACTCTTTTTCTGTCTCACTCATTTCCTTCTCTGTTTTGCTTTATATTCCTCTCTCTGTGTCTCTCTCCCGGGAGGTCGACAGAATAGTTAGCGGAACAAGAGGGAAACATTCCTTCACATGCTGTTCATTTTTAGGGTTGGCGAGCAAATGACATATGTGCTTTCTACCATCCCCACCCCTCCACCCACCCTTCCCCATGTGTCTGCACGAAGAGGGCATAAGAGACAGAGGCTGTGTGTGTATGTAAGGGTGGGAGGGTGACTTTAGGCTCCTCCAGACCTCCTGCTTATGACCTGTGTTGAGGGCAGGTGGTTGGCCATCTCTCCCCCAACCACGGACATCCATTCTTGGGCCACATGTCAGCCTATCTCCAAAGGAGGATTAATTTTCAAATGAACTGGTCTAATAATTATGATTATGAATGTCATTAATGATTGGCTACAAAACAAAAGATACAACATTTGCCTCCTTGAAGTGACAGGAGATACGTTAATGCTACACTAAAAAGCCTGAGGACCACTGGTGTCCATCAAGTACCAGTGAAGGACCTCCACAGTACTGTTAAAGGATCTAACCCACCCACCCAGCCCCCGCCCTCCAAATATCCTCAGCATTTGACTGATGGTTTCTCAAACCAGTGATGTGGCGTCTCGGTGTGTGTTGTGCCCGTCGGACCAACCTGTCCTGTGGTTATGTGGCTGGCTCGGCCCAACAGGTTGCAGTGGCTCTAGCCTTGGATGCCCATCTGCCCCTGGCATCTGTCCTCACATCTGCTTCACTGCGGACGGCCAGGGGACGGACCCAAGGAGAGCCTCCCCTCTAACTGCTCTGACATTAATGTCCAGGAGGGGTGTCCACCAACAAAATGGCAATAACATGCTCAGTAAAATGTCAAGGCCAGAATGGCAGAGCTGTGGTTTGATGACCTGTTGTTATTATTTCTAAATAATGTTAATCTTTGTTCTGTGTGGAGCACTTTTGTCTTTTGATGGACTTCTGTGTTCTCCAGGGAGAAGGAAGTGGAACAAAGATTGCGTAAATTGGCTATGTACTTTAGTGAACTGTCTACCTATTAAGATTTCTTGCCAGCATATATTATGACTGAAAAAAATGCAATAGAGGATCTAATATATTAATCAGGTAATTGATTTAAATAATTTGAACTTTTTGCTGAAAGGGGAGTCATGGTGTGCTTAATTATGCCATCTCATATTCCATGCCTTCATACTTAACAAGATGTGCATTCTTAAAAAATATCAGACTCGCTAGCACACCGTGTTTTTGCTGGGAAAGGCAGTGTGGGGATCTTTGCCCATTAGTGTGTCTGAGACACAAACAATAAACAAGATGATAAGTAAGAAGCAAAAGATGCATTAAACAAGAGGTGTTGTTTTATTTTAGATGTACCTGATTTCACACGTTTTTCACTGTGTAGCAGGAGACAGAAGGTCATCCTGATAGGGAAATTAAAGCAAGCACAATCTTTACAATAGATACAAGGCTTCTTAGGTACAACTCAAAGCAGAGGCTAATTTCCAGCTGTGGTGCAGCATGTAGAAAGCTTAATGTACAATGACTCAGCTTTTGCCAGAATATGTTTAACAAACGGTTCACTCTTTCCTTGTCAGGTCTACAAAGTTAGATTACTGTCGCAATCAAAACGTAAAAACTAAAGTTTAACATGTTGAAAATAGGACTGCACAACTTATCGTTTAAATCAGAACTGATCATAAAAATACGTGGCAACGAATGTCATCACTGATAAGTTTGGTAGATGTCATGATGCACGGCACACGTCTCCTAAGGTGAGAGCAGTAAGCCGGCAAATGCTGCACCCTGTTTAGCACATGTGACTAACTACAGGAAATGCAGTCTCCTTTGTCTCTGCGGGTAGCATTTGATTTACCTGGGTGTGGTCAGTAGAGGTTTTTGTTCCCCAGGATGGTGAAAGGCATGACAAACCCTACTCTTCCTTACTCTGCCTCTGATTGGCTTCCCCTAACATTCTTACCCTAATCCTAACTGATCTCACTCTTCTTGCCTAAACTTAACCAGTCCAACCAACAAAGGCAATGAGTACTTGCTAATCAGAGGGAGAGGAGGGCGATCATGCCTCTGCCATCCTAGGAAATAAAATTTGGTGTCCTGTAGCCGGGCCCCTGATGAAGCCATTTTTTAAACTAACCTTTATAAAGCTGAATAGTTTTACTTTGGGGCCCAGCTGCACTGATCCATCACAAAACAAAATTAAACAGACGGAAGGTATTTCTGTTGCTTACATTTGCTTTTAGATTACCCTGTAATCATGTGTTTGTACATCAAAACAGCCACAAATCTGCCAGAAACGGCAGACTTAGCTAGCGCTTATTAAGTAAAATTAGGTCAGAGTCACACTGGAGTATGACGTAACGTTGTGAAATATTTATTTTTTTATTGTAGTGGCCTTGTCTGTACGTACTCTTCATCTAGCATACATTTGATTTTTTTCTTTACAAGGAGTATGTTTTGTTTTTGAATAAAAAGCTGGAAATAGATAGTTTTTCTCTTTTTATCCGATTGATAATCGATTAATCAAAGTAAAACACAGATGAATCGGTCACCAAAGTAGTTGTTTGTCAGCAGCTGTAGCTGAAAGTATGTTGTGAACTATGAATTTAAAACAAAAAAAAGAATAGGATTCAAATGTAGGAAAATGTGCTTTAAATATCTGAAAATATCGCTTTGCTGTGACAATGTGTGCAGTGTTTGAGTATGTAAGATGATTGGCTTTCATTCTATTCATGTGTTTGAATTTTGAGTTCAGAATGTTTCCTCTGTTAAAACGCTAAAAAATCCCAGACAGCAAAGCTGAAAGAGCCAGTTTGAATCTATGAAAGGAGAAAGTGAGTTGGATTTCTGATAGGGCTTTGATGAATGTCAATAAAGCAAGTTTAAAAACTTTGAAGACAGATTTGTAACACTGAAAACATCAAACTGTGAACAATGTAAGAGTGAAGCAAATTTTCAACCTTTCAAATCTTGAAATGTTTTGATATGTGAAAGGAATCAAACCTCATATAGTGGCCGGCAGGATTTTACAGATACAAAAGTGAAAAAGCCTTGAAAAGGGGTAATGGGAGTTTTCTCATTTTTTCATGTTTTTCTATAGATTTCAAATGCTTGTGTGGTAGTTTTCTTCCTTTTGACTTGATTGGGTTTGATCACATACGTCGTAAAAATGTATAACCTTGATAAAAAAATGATTGAAGGCAAATATTTCTGGTTTTTCCTGCCAACAGGTCGTAGTCCTTTCTCAGCTATGTTCTGCTTCCTTTCACCTTATTTTCATAAGTTTCTCTGTCGTTGTTGACTTTCACCTATGTTTTACTTTGTTTGTTTCCAGGGCTCCGCGCTTCAAGGGCTACCAACAACAAGACAGCCAGGAGCTTCTGCACTACCTACTGGACTCCATACGAGTAGAGGAAACTAAAGTGAGCTTACATATACACACATACACCTGTAAAGGCTGTAAAAAGCTTAAACACACACTGTTTTTCCAAGTTCAGAATGTATTTGGTGTGGATCTTTTGTTATGTTTTTCAAAGTTTGCTTAAGTTTTACTTTTCATAAAAGAAATGTCCCTCATATCTGCAAAAAGTACTCTTTGTACCTCTGGTATTTGTGGGGTTTTTTTCCAAGTGCTTTTTGAACATTTGTTAGGAGAAAATGTGTTAGAAATGAGGACGCTGTATGTACGTGCTTGTTGGGTTATAACAAACCTTGAAGGAAATTCAGGGATTTAAAGACCCCCTTCAGTGACAATAGAGTCTTTAACCTTGATAACATGTCCACATGGTGTTTTTTATAGGCTACACCATATCCTGAGTAAAAAGAAGCAGTCAATGCCATGGCTGAGCATTTTGTAGAGAGGTTTGTGTGTGTGAAGAGAGTGAAGGTAAGCAGGTACACTGGAGCTGCAGACGAGTGGCTAAGATGCGGTGCTAATCTGCATATTCATATCATCTGTGCGTACTAAATAAGGTAAAGGTTATATAAAGAGTTATATCTGAGCCTAAAGCATGAGGGGATTTTTTTCATGGACAAAAAAACTTAAGTATATCATTCTGATGAACAGAGATGAGTTTTGGGGGGTTTATCATTGCCCGAAGGGGAACATTATAAATGGCTGTTTCTTAGCCACATTAATGCTAACAACCCCATCATCCTCTATTTAGTGTTTTGTACTAATTGCATAGACTGTTTAAAGTAATGGTGAAGTTACTGTGATGTCACACATTGCTTTGTGGACTCCTTTTTTGAAGTCTTGAGGTTTTGTTTTTTTTTTCAGGCCTGGAGATTGCTGCTTGGCTAATCAACAAATATTACCATGCTAACATGGAAAACTAAGATGGTGAATATTATATATTATACTATATTATATATAGTATTTGATTATAATATTATACATAGTAAATATCTCTATTAAAGCACTTTAACTGAAAATTGTAGCATGCTCACATTAGCATTGTGAGCACCATTGTGCCTTTGCACAGCCTCACAGAGCCACTAACATGGCTGTAGACTCTTAGTTTGTTTTTGTCTATTTGACTTGGCAAGTTGTATTTTGTTTTTTAATTTTCAAATGTTTGCTTGGATTGCTGTGAGACGCACTGCCTTTTTTGTACTACATCAAACCATTTACTGAAAAAAAAAAATCAGCAATCAGCAGTGATGGTAGTTCACTGATAGTATCATGCTAATACCTGAATTGTGGGGAATTCTGTGTTTGTTTTGAAAGCCATCCGAGCCTACTGTAGTTATAATGGAAAACATTCAGTTTGTTTGTTGGCGGCTGTGTGCTTTCACAAAACCCAGTATCTTGGTTTTGCTTGGCCAGCCAGTTTTTGTGTTTTAACCTTATGGTGCCATGTTTTTGGCAAGTACAGAGAACCCCCTCCCCCCAGGCCTTCACAGGGCAATTAGGAGACCCCACAGCAGCCCTTTGCATGGCTGAGCTGGCCCCTGTGGCCCCACCAGTGGCTATGTGAACCAAGGAGGAGAAGTTAGCGGGTGTGTTTAGTGGTCAGCCTCAGACCCAGGAGGGGCCGCAGGCTGGGCTCCCCTGCTCCCATTCAAACTTGTGAACACTGACAGTTGTGCCACTTAGGGGACTTGCAAGTGGCACGACCGGCATCATTGTGTGATCTTGGGAAACCCACAGCTGCTGAATGAGCTCCAGGGCCGTCCCATTGTGCTTGAGGGTCACCCACAGCCCCCTCCCTCACACATACACACACACACACACACACACACTCATCAGCCGATCTCCCAATCCAATCAAGGAGGTAAAGAGGGAGGGGGTACTGCGCCCTCTATTCATTCACTCAGAAACTCATTTATACAGCCAAGCACAGAGATACAGTGGCATTTTGGCCTGCATTGTTGAATATTTTTTACAAATGAATGCAAACATTAAACTAGGTACTAACTTTTCTAATGAAGATGAGATGTATCATAGAAGTGTTTTTGATATAGCTGGACAAACATGACACACACATTTTTTCTTAAGCTGACAGCGAATAACCCATACCTACTGAGTCTGAATAAACCCATTCATATTGAATTGGCGTATTTGAGATATTCATATATACTGATTAGATTATATACACATAATGTCCTGTGTGAGTGTGTGTCACAGAGAGAGACTGGTATTTTTGCAGTGGGTGTCACCAACCTTTTAGAGGCCCTAAGTGTTTGTGTTGATTGGCCATTAGTATCAGAGATCCTAATATGCTAATTTGGCCCCAGTCAATTATCACCAATTAGCTGAGACGGTAGGTATTACTCTCTCAGGGCATGGACTGTCCTTCTTCACCCCGTCTTCATTTTAGTTTCCACCCCTGCACCCTTGTACCAGCAACCCTCTCCACCTCCCCTAACCCCCTCCCTCGGCCCCATCCCGTGTGGGACAGTGCATGCTGTTATTTTGGGGAGGGAGATGGGGGGTTGCTGGTAATTAATTAGTAGGAGAGCTTCAGCCTGGTTTGACTGCTGAGTGAGTGGGGTGCATGCCGGCCAGGCTGGGATTAATAGGACTTTTTGACCTAAATAGCCAGTCCAGTGCGTGGGTCCCGAGACAATGGGGGCTGACTGGTCTCGACCACAGACACAGACTGTGGCCAATTATCTATTGATTGGTGCTTTACTGTGGCTGTGCCTCTTCACAGCTCTGTCACCAACACACTCACTGACCATGTCACCTTCAATAAGAGGGCGCCGTGAAGGACTTATAGACATACACATACATGCGCTGTTAATTAAGATCTACATGGTAACGTTTTTAGACAAGGCTAGAATTTGATATTTCACTAATGGATGTAATGGAGAGAATTCAAGAAAAACATCCCAGAGTGGATTTTATTTTAATTGATGTATTTATTTTGCATTAAATCTGCATTGTTCTGTTATTCTGTGTTTGTGTCCAGAGGGTGAAAGCGGGAATTCTGAAGGCTTTCAACAATCCCACCGAAAAGACAGCAGATGAAGAGACCAAACGCCAAGTCAAAGGTTCATATACTCGCTGCGGTGGATAAGATGGCTAAGATCAATAGTCCCATCTTGTGGCAGTTAATGGAAGTACAGCTCAGTTACTAATCAGGCAAAGGGTGGTTCGATGGAACACAGCACAGTATAGCCTTTGTTGGATACACCTTCACTGTTACCTGCAACGTTCTATTCATATGATCAACAAAACCAGTTATATACAGTTAGTCCTCAGCCTTTATTGGAGATATAATAGTGAGCAGAAAGGTTTAGTGGAGTGAATTGACAGGTTAATGATGACATTTTTCAATTAAAAACTATGTCTCTGTTTTTCCCTCTAGCGTACGGAAAGGAAGGTGTGAAAATGAACTTTGTGGACCGCATTTTTGTTGGCGAGCTGACTAACACAATTATGTGTGAAGAGTGCGAGCATGTAAGTGTATGTGGTTGAATTATAGAATAGTCTGTGTGAACCAATCAGGCAGAGCTCAATGCAGTGCCCTCAATGGAACACGTATGAAGCACAAGGTCGGCAAGTTCACACGTTATTCAGCCAACCTTGACTCAGTAGTGCCTTCAAATACAGTTAATGTAAAACCCAGTTAAACTGAAATTTCAGTTTGTTTTGCTACTGCTTTATTTAAACAATCACTGCTGGAGTTGCAATAGATTTCCAGACATTTTCTGTCACAAATTGAATTTGTCACTGGCCTGAAGTGAAGCTAACCAAGATTAGGTTGCCATTTCTCATCTTGCTTTTATATCCAAGCATCATTTTTAACTTTGTTACCCACAACCAAACTGAAAAACTGAAAAATAAGTCAGAGAAAACAGAAGTCAACAGAAAAAACAAAACCAAAAAGCCCTTCAAGAACCAGCTCAGACACCAACTGTTTGCAGCAGGCATTTACAATAACGTGGGGGCTCAGCTTCGAGTTGTTAACAAAGCAAATGTCACTATGAAAACTTATGAACATCCTTGAAGGTAGAGAGCACCAGGTGTGGAGCTGGAGAGCAATAAGCAGAGAATCAATTGCTTCCCAGATGTCCTCTTAGTCTTGTTGAAAATCAGCAGCAGAAGTTTATTAACAACTGGCTGTAATTTTGACTTTTTGAGAAGGTGATGAATATATTTGCTGACATTGACTTGTGTGTGATTTTTCTTTCAGATCTCCACAGTGAAGGAGGCTTTCATAGACATCTCCTTACCCATCATAGAGGAGAGGGTGAGCTGCTGCAGTTGTTCATAAGAAAATCGATAAAAAAAATATCAAAGGATGATAATTATCACTCTAAAACAGCATACCTATTTTATTGAGTAAGAAAATTGACACAGTTAGATGACAGGTTGAAGTGTTTTCAGAAGAAAAATTCTGCGGTATTGGTTATAGTTCAACTTTGAACTGATGATTCTTTATTTGTCAAACTCAGATATCAAAACCGTCCAACCCTGGTAGGCTGGGGAAGGGCAGCCGGGAGCAGGACACACACATGACTCACAGCGACCAGGTTTTTTCCGCAGCACACTCGGTCAACAGAAACACCAGGAAGCTGAGCGGGCAGGTGGGGATGTGCATGTAAAGAGTACTAGTGCTGCTTAATCTAAAAGTGATTTCTCATTAAGCAGTGATTTGCTGGGTTTGTGCATTTGATTGTTTCTGTATCATGCCAGTGTTTGGGTTTCTCCGTTATCTGAAGACAGGTGTAGGTAAACATGTTTTTGCGAAGTGCTTCAGCCTGGGCTTTAGTGTCAGTTTCTATTTTTCCCTCCTGAATGTGATTTAAAAGAAGACTAAGGCTGATACTTTAGATTCCACAAGGAGAAATTCTCATTGTAACTTCACCACCAATTGAAATACAAAGTAATTACAGGATGTCATATGTCGTATAATGTGGGTAAGCTGATAGCTGATGTTTTTCAGATCTGTAATTACCACTTCATATTTATTCAATTTGATTCTTATTACACATCCATGTCATACCCTATTTCCATGTTGACTCTGCTCAATTAAGACTCTACCCTTGCAGATAGGGCCACAAAGCTTACACAGTATTTCGATTCTGGCACACCAGACTACATCCACACTAATACATTTTTATTTTAAAACACAACTATTGCTACGCCTAGTGTCCACACTACTCCAGCTGACTACAAATGCAGTTTTGGAAGCCATACCAGAGACCTTTGAAAATACTGCTGGCCTTTGAGTTTGAAATCTTCGGTCACATTTTTGTCTAGACGGGCAAAACTGAGATTCTTAAAAACAATGAAGGAGACACCTACATTTGCTTCCAGCTTGGGTCTTATTAGTCGCAAAGTGTCAAACCAAAATATCATAGCTAGGTCTGCATACCTGCATATTGTTGCCATGGCTTCCTCCTGTGATGGATAATCCTCTTGGAACCACTCTAATATGACGCTAATATAACTCCCAATCTGTTTTCTGCCACTGCCAGCACCTTATACTCATTTGTTCATTTAGGTAACAGTTCCAACTTGTCCTCAGTCCAAGCAAAGAAATCTCTGGTTGTACGTTTAGTCATCTCCATGGTATTGTCTGTCACTAAGAAAAGGAAAAAAGCCTGCACACTGCTCCAAGTCACAACTGTGGTTTATTAGGACAACGTTTCGATCCAGAAGGGATCTTCGTCAGGTCAAAGGGAACGAAACGTTGTCCTAATAAACCACAGTTTTGACTTGGAGCAGTGTGCAGGCTTTTTCCCTTTTCTTGCTTGCTTGTTGCTTGTTGACAGCCTCGCACCTACCGGTGATGTGCGTATATCTCCTCCTCCTCTACTATTGTCTGTCACTAAGCAACCAGCCGCAGAGTAGACAGTTTATACTAAACAATTCAGGTGTTTTAGTATAAATGGAAATTATATCTAATGCACTCTTGTGTACGGGGATCATTGTCGTTAAAAACATAATAGTGTGGATATGACCGAAGCATTGCAGGATATCTCCTATGATGTACTAGGTGGAAAATGTTTTCCCACATCGCGTCACCAAGCTGTCCTGTTATTTCTTTCTGTTACATCGGGCCAGGGTCAGATGTTTTCTCACTACAATGTCAGTTTCCAGCCATCCTTACAAAGTAGCATGCAATAGTCTCTCCTCAGAGTCAAATGTGCTGCTTTAAGATGATGTAATCAAGGCACAGCATTTACAGCATCCCTTCCTCATCTCTTGTGTGTTTGTGTCATAGATATAGATGTTGGTATCTTTTGCATGCCTTTACTGGCAGTGTGAGTCCTTTTATTCACATTTTAGCTGTGCAAGAAATAGTTGGAAGATAGCCAGAGCAAATTTTATGAAAAAAAAAATAAAAAATAATAATAAAGATCCTTTATGACCAACATGTAAAATTGCATCCCTGAAAGGGGCTCATGTATCTGTTCTTGTTTCCCCCAGAAGCAGCAGAGCAGGAAGTCTTCAAGCTCCGTGGAGGAGAAGGGAGCAAGCTGCAGTGTGGAGCGGGTGGAGGAGGAGGGCGTAGCTGTTGGATCAGCTCGTGGTGTCTCTGTTTGCAAGATGGCTGCTGCCGGCAGCCTTTCAGATGGCAGCGAAAGAGACTCAGGTGCTCAGGACAGCAGTAATGACGCTGACAGTGAGGCCTCAGAGAGCGAGTGGGCCCCACGCACCTCCTCCTCCAGCCACAGCCACGGGCACATGTCCACCCCATCGTCCACCTCCACCCTCACTCCATCCCCTACGCCCATCTCTGCCTCCTCCCCCTCGTCATCATCCTCCATGAGGCAAAGTGGTGCAGTAGAGCAGCTCGTCACTGCAGTGTCTAAAGTCAACCTCGGGTTCGCTCCTGGGGACTGCTCTCCTTCTACACACTGTTCTCAGGAGGAGCAGGGAGAGACGCAGTCACGAGATAACCTCCACCATCAACACCACCAGGGGGCCTTCCAGGCACTGTCCCACAGTTACACACCCAGCTCCAAGGAGTGCTCCATCCAGTCCTGCCTCCACCAGTTCACTTCTGTGGAACTGCTGATGGGCAACAACAAGCTGCTGTGTGAGAACTGCACTGAACGCAGACAGAAACAGCTGCGCAAGAGCAGCTCAGCCGGTAAGACAAAACATATGAAACAACAAAAAGCTGAGTGTTTCTAAATTATTGCCAGTGGGTATGCAGCTAGCGATTGTTTGTTATTATTGATTAGTCTGCCAGTTATTTTCTTGATTCATTATTTTGCCAGTAAAATGTTAGAAAATAGTGAAACCTATGCAATTTACCAGAGCCCAAGGTGACGTCTTCAAATGATGTTTCATCCCACTAAATCCAAAGCTGTCAAGTTTATTATTGTACATGACAAAGAAAAACATTAAATGATCACATTTAAGAAGTGTGTAACCAGCAAAGGTTCAGCTTTTCTCTTTAAAAAAAATTCAAAAACAATTATTTAATTATGTAGAGTTTCATTTAATTTTCTTTTGATTGACTAATCAAAAAATCAACTAATCGTTACAACTCTAATTGCCAGATTATTGTACATCTGATCATTTAATCACAGGTCATCCCCTAGGAAGCCCTTTCAGTGATACTTCATTTACAAAATCCATCTTTGAATATCAAACTCTCAACCACAGTATGCTCGATTGTTGGCTGTAAATAGTTTTGAGTTTTGTCCTTCATGGCGGCCGTAGGCAGCTTGAGTTCTTGCCAGTAAAAATAGATTCCAACAATGACCAGATTTTGCTCTGAAAGAAGTATCAAAACGTCCATAGAAACTTCTCAGTCTACTTCTGTGGTGCACTTCACTCCTTTGCTCTCTGATTGTGTGCTCACTGAGTTCTAAACACTCTGACCATGTGGAGTTCATCAGTAGCAGCTTGTGTTTACACACATCAGAACAAGTGCAAATTCTTACTAGTGTCAAGATGAAGGGCTACAGTCTGTAATGTCAATGAGCACTTGCTGTTTTCAGTGTTTGCCTCAATCACTCAAATCTTTATACAAAAGATTCCTGACTGTTCATTTAAATACAACAAAGTGTATTTTTTAACAGTTAAATCTGACATTTCTTATCTTTTGTTGTTGGCATAGACAAGAAGCTGGAGAAGATTTACACCAGCGCTAGGAAGCAAATGCTGATATCTTTGCTGCCTCCTGTCATCACGTTGCATCTTAAACGCTTCCATCAGGTGAGCAGGCACATACACACTGCCTTTTCGTTTTTTGTCACGCTGACAGGAAATTGTTGAGTGCAGTAGTGTGGGTGTTTGACATATCCTAAACAGTGATGTTGAAGGGCTTCTGTTGTGGTCTACAGACCTAAATGCTAAATTGCTGCCACTCTGGTTTTGTATTTTAAGGCAGGGATGAACTTACGAAAAGTGAACCGCCATGTTGACTTTCCCCTCATCTTGGATCTGGCTCCATTCTGCTCGGCATCCTGCAAGGTAAAATATATTCGGTGTGCTTGAATAAATTTTAGTTATTCTGTTTGTAATGAATGTTCTTGGTTGGTACTGTTTCTGGAGACTTCGATCTCTGTATCTTTTACTTTTTTAGCTCTGTTTCTCTTTCTGCTAACCTTCATTCTCCTTCTTTCTAGAACCTGGCAGCTGGTGAGCGTGTCCTCTACAGCCTGTATGGGATTGTCGAACACAGTGGCTCAATGCGGGGAGGCCACTACACTGCATATGTAAAAGTGCGCGCTCCCCAGAGGAAAACAGAACACCACCACAGGAACCTGTCAGGTCAGGGTTTGTATCTCTGAGCTCCTTTAAGACCTTTAAACTATTTCCTGTGTTAGCATGATTGTTTGCTGTTTGTGAAAGCAGTCAGTATTGTGCAGCAAAGACCTTGCTCCTTGTAACCTCAGAGATGTCCAACAAAGGACAGGATGAATTGAGGTCTCTGCTCTATAGATTAGTGTTGTCTACTTTTTTCTTTTCTCCTCTCAAGAAGAGTGTCCAGATTTGCACAATAGCGCTGGGAGGTACTTTTAAAACTCAAGGAAGCAGTTGTCCTCGCTAGACATTGTTGTTATTGGAGCCATAGGTTGGTGATGACACAAGGATCAAACGTGTCATTATGATGACCGCAGACAAACTGTAGTTCAGTCATGTGGTACACAGTATCTACCTGTTCTAACACCTACAGACTGTACGTGAATATTGAACATTCTTCACCTTAGTGCCCCTAAACATTGCCCTTTGGATGCTTTACTTGAAAACATTAAGTGAATGCAATGTTTAGAGTTAGGTCTAGATAGGGTGACCAGATTACATGTCACCAGAGTGAAAAATTCAGGACAGTCCCAAATCACGAATCCTGTCTGCTTGTCACAAAAATTAAACATTACAGTTACAGAGAATATGAACAAGCTAAAACATGAGCTGTCTGTACAATGAAATGCTGAAGGGACCTGACATGGTGACACAGTAATATTGGAAAACACTGTACTGAGATTATTGTGTACTTTTGCTGCTAAATTGTCATGAATAGTTGATAACATTAGAGTTGTACATGCCTCCGATACTGCCTAAAATGCCGTAATGGGTATCGGCAAGTACAGCCTATGACCAGTCCGATACCACGTAATGCCTCATGTCATTACACATACGCATGCTACAGGCAAACGAAACAGAAACGGAGCAGAGTTTAAAAAGCATTCTACTGTAGCCTTTAAAATGTCTTTTTTACCAAATTGTGTGGCTGCACTTTAACCTGTGTCTTGATCTATGTCAACACTGGATAATAATGATAAAAAAAAGTTTTATGGCATTCATTCTATTATTATGTATTTATTTCTTAATAGTTTACATACAGTTTTAGGAGTTAAGACATACAACAATTCATATGCCACCCATTTTTATTTTACGTGCTGGTATCGGATTGATTAGTAGATCAATCTTTTTTTTTCTTTGTCTTTTTTCTTTTTTTTTTTTTTTTACACCCTGAATCCGTGAAAATATTCTGATTAAACCACCTACGTGGGCTACAATTCCAGATTTTAGTTATTAAAAAATGTCCAGTTGTAAGAGTATATGTCAGAGCGTTAGTGATGTGTTTTCACTTGTCTATTGCACCAATCAGGCTTTCATAAATAACGGATTGTTGATGTCATTCGACCTTTTTTAAACCAGATGATGGAGAATGCAGCCACCTCTGCAGGAAGAATTTGTTATAGCTCTTACATTTCAATTACAGTCTTAGCTGCTGAGAAGACATTTAAAATGACTGTAACATACCTGTCATCTGTGTGTGATGTGTCTTATAAACACAGCCAGGACACTGTGCTTCATGTCATCCTGAATTCTATGTAATGGATGGTTTACCCATTGTTACATACAACACAGTCATTGGTTTTCTTTTTCCTCATGACAGACAGTTGACTTTATGAACAAAAATAATATTTTGAGCATTGACTTTTGACTTAGTTGACACTGATGTACTGGAGGCCACACCCACCATGGCCATATGAACATGCCCACCCTCAACTGCTCTGTCCTGAATTTCACCCATTCCCATCTGGTAGGGATGGGCAGCACAAGCAAAAACACTATTCGAAAATCATGGCAACTATTGGACAATTTTTCGATCCAGAACAAATGTGTTAATAAGCCTTTTAGCTATTTAAATTGTCTAATTGGCTATTCAGATATTCAGTGTGTGAGAATTTCACCAAAGCTAAACTAGTTTATGTCACTGAAATACAGAGATATATTTAAATCAAGCAGAGATGTCTCAGACATACTTCCCTAGACTATTTAAGGAGAAAGGGGCGCAACATAAAAAACAACAATTTCCTTCCCTCCCCAGTCCCCAAATCTGTCCTTGTAAGACTATAAAACTACAGTTTGCTCATTCTTTACACAGTTCCTCTTCTATGGCATTACAAGAAGTTTGCCCTACAGGGTGAACCCTGATCAAGATAAAAAGAAAATCCTAACATTAGCACTTAAAAAAACAAACAAACATGAAACAGGACACATAAGGTACATGAAAGAAAAAGGTGATATACTGTATCCCTACAATGTCTTACAGAAGGAGTATCTCCAGCAGATACAGTGTAACCTTTAATATTTACACTATGTTCAAGTTAGTTAAGGTGAGGACACACATTATGACTATTGAGCCGACCATGACAATGATTTGTACAGGACGACTAAGCAGCAGGACATTCAGACACAGCGAACTAGCAGGCGCACTCACCTCAGCGGGCAGGATACAGTGCACATAGCAAAACACTAAGCAACTGAATACAGCAATGTCAAGGCTTTTTTGTTGTTGTACTAATTCTTTTGGTGCCAGCATGTAGTAGCCAGTTGAGGAATCTCAGTCCAAGGCATTCTACACTGTCTTCACCCTGTAACTATCATGGTGGCTGCAGCTTGATTGACAGTTGCAGCAGAGTACAACTTTTTGTCCCCGTGTGACATTGAGAAGCTTTAAAATGTTTTGCGCTAGTTGGGCTCGGTCCGTCTTTTTTATCAGATGTATTATTTGAGCTTTGTTATTGTGGAGCCAACCTCTGACAGCTTGTTGTTTACCCACGCTGGACTTAAGTCCATTTTTCTTATTGACATCCCCGCCATGAGAAAAAAACAGCACTGCAGAGCTGATTATTTCTCAAATATTTAATCATTCTCTGTGTCCCTGCAATACTGACACTGAGTGTTTTTTTTTTTGTTTGTTTTGTTTTTCAGGTGCAAGGGAGGCCGGCAGCAGCTTCCAGGGCCAGTGGGTGTACATCAGTGATACCACCGTTCAGACGGTACCAGAGTCAAGGGTACTCAACTCTCAGGCATACCTGCTATTCTACGAGGAAATGCTGTAACGTTACAAACAAAAGTACTTTTTTTCCGAGATCTCTGTTAAGCTTTGCATTATTTTGGTTCATGCCTGTACTACTCGTCATACTGTATCTGTGAGTGGGTGGAGGGAGAAAAGGGAAAGACTTCACTGTACACTCACTTATCTTACATGAAAGAAATGACCCTCTGTGCCATTTGCATATAAATTCTTAACTGAAATTGGCACCTCTGAATATCTTAGATCACAGGCTGTAAAATAAAGATGGAAGACATGACAGCTCCTCAGAAGTGAAGCCAAAATGTCTCGATTCTGATAGCAGACAGAACTGTCGCCTCAAACTCTTCTTACACACTGTTTTCATCTTCAGTCTGACATTGCATCTAATGATTTCTAGGGGGGGGGGGGGGGGGGGGGGTGGGGTTGGGGGGGATTCAATTCTCCCTAACCAATCACTAGAGACTAACATAAATGCCTGAATCTAATGCCATTTTTAGTCCACACCGATGCATAGCCATGCCAGTATACCTGTTTTAATGACTTACTTAGGCCTTAGTATTTCTTTCGAAACATAGGCCATTGATGAATAGTGTCCACCCTCGTAACATGTCTATTTTGCTGGGGTTTTCAACTCGTCAACTCGTCAACTCGGTGGACTAGGCTGATTCCAAGGTCTGGACTCAGGCAAGTGCAAGATGGCAGCGCCTTATCTGGGATAGTTTGGCTTCATTTTTGAACAGTGAGAAGAAGTGCAGGTGCGTCTTCCATCTTTATATACAGTCATTGTCTTCAATATATAAAAAACAAGTTATTTTCTGGTTTTCATTCCTGTTTAAAAACCCTAACCTTTAAAAAGAGGTGCGGAGAAAAGTGTTACAGAACCTGAGCTGTTATCGTCTATCTCAGTCACAATCACGTGCCTGAGATATTAAGTGCATGGAGTTTTCTACAGTTACTAACAGGAAAGCAGAATTATCGCATGCTAAACTGCACTCAGCACTGACTAGTTGATGTCAAGTGTGTGTGTGCGTGTGCACATACGCACACATGTATGAGTGAATGAGTGAGTGAGAGACAGGGGAATGTAGATCTCAGGTGCTATGTGTATCATTTTCACACCAGTAAACTATTGCAACATTTAATTTTGGTCAGTATTACAGCTAGTGTAATTAAACAGGATGACTTCTCTGTCTGCATTCACCACTAAATATTTGTCCATTGTTGGTAGATTTGTTAAGTCATGTGCTTGATTCTCTGGCGATGGCAGATGATAGATGGTAAAAATGCCAAGAGAAAAATGAATTCAGGCATGTTTGTCCTTTTCAGTATAGAGAACGACGCATGAGGACGAGTCGCAATATCATTTATGACACAGTTTATGGAAAATATGGGCGTACATTTGAGAAACTCAAGCTGTTATAACACAGCACCAGTGGTAGAGCTGGGCAATATGGAAAAAATTAAATAACATAATATTTTTGACTAAATACCTCGATAAATATTGCAGCTATTGGTGCTTTTACTAAGTATTTACACAATGAGATTTTTTATAAGTAATCTTTAGTAATGGGGATATAATGACTAAGTGGGTAAAGACAAATGAAAGATCAGCTGAACAGTCCGTAAAACCAGGAAAAGCCAACACTTAGGATATTACGATATCCAGAGACGATATGTAGTTCATCACAATATTGATATAATATCGGCATATTGCCCAGCCCTAACCAAAGTTCTTTAACAGTGGCTAGTAATTGTCTCAGCCTTGCCCCTCTTTATTTATGATACTGAGAATAACCAAGCTATGACGGCTTCTAATAGTTAACATCAGCGTACTGGTTTTAATTGTTACACATAGCACCTTTAAAGAACAGCACAACAGTTATTTTACAGCCTCCTTTAAAAAGGATTGTCCTTTTTTTTTTACATCAGAATGTATAAATGTAAGACTATCAGTGTCAGCCAAAGACGAGTTTTGCAACTGCAAGTCAGAGCAGAAAATCAAAACCAAACACACGAGAGGTTTACTTCACACAGTTTCTTTGACGTTAGTTCTTTCAAGGTCATCAGTATGGCTCTCGAGTGTCGTTGCACAAACAAACGCGCTCAATGTTTATCAGACCTACAAAGCGCCTTGTCTGCCTTCATTGTATCCCAGGTCTACTGTAACTGTGTAGGTGTGCTCACAAACCGATTAAGATGTTCCACAAAGAGTCAGCACCACAACAGACTGGCTTTTTATTCCCTAATGCTATCATTAAGGTTGAACTATAAAAAAAAGAAACAAACTCAAAGGCTTTGAGCCTGACTAGAAAACAAACATATTTGCTGTAATGTGCATGGGTTAATGTTCTAATGAATGTATTGCCTATCCTTGAAAATGTCTGTCAAATGAGCTGTTCATCTTTTTCTATGAAAATATTTTAGATGAAAACCTTTTTTTGTTGGTTGTCGGACATTTGCCAAAACAGTAGAAAGGAAACGTTTGAATATGTGCATCAGAATCTAAAGGTTTATTATGTTGTTTTTGAAACAAGGACAAATTCAGTGCCTGTGCTTCAGGTTTAAAATTCCTGTGCATGGTGAGAAGAAAAACATATGCAGAGAGGGATATGTGTGGCATATTTATGTACAGTACAAGTTACTGTAGGCAAAAATAAAAGAGGTTATATGTAATTGTACATACAAGAAACAAAACAAAACCATGGTGCTTCAGGCGTGCAGGGTTTTTCCTCAATACAGCTTTTTGTTTCCAGAAAATCATTTAATTTCCTTTATGAAATGATAAACATTTGGAATGAGTATAACTAGATACTGTATCAAAATAAATCTAATTTATGAACTGAATATTCTGCACTCCTCTTTCTCACTTCATCCACTGCTCTTGTGAACAAAGATCACAAAAGGAGAAGGTTTTGCTGTTTCTGCTTTGGACTTGATGTCATCCTGCTTTTATTCTAAGCGAGGTGTTGTCCACCATCGCTCTCGGCTGTCGCTGTGGATCCTGTGGCGCCATACTCAACCCATCCTCGCCAGTGATCGGCCCTGACGGGTGCAAAGCAGCACTGCTTCAGAACATGTCGCGAGCTGGTGAAGAGGAGGTGGGTGTGGAATCAGGAAAAGGGCAACGTCCAAAAACATCGCCTTGCACGTCATCTTGTTCCCACATGCAGTGACATGCGAGTCATGCTGCTGGAACATTAAAACAGGTTGTCAAGGCGCCACCAACAAAAAGAGCAAATCTTTTCTGAAATGCATTAGTCTATTTTTAAAGCGGGGGGGGCTTTTGGCTCGGGGACATGCTGCTGTGGCATTAGATGTGATTTAATCTCACTTAATGAAAGGCACCCTCCCCCCTGCGTGAGACAGTTGTAAGAAACTAATGCTGCAATGCTCATTACTGTCTACCTACCTACCAGCAGTGGAGGTTACATTTTACTGTTCTCACCATGCACGCCATTGTTACTCACCTAGGTTGACACCACACCACACAGACCCTGCAACACATTTTCTCACGCAAACCTCTGCACGAGCCTTAGGCTCTGCTCCTCACAGTGCATTTACATCACCACTATTCATTAACACCAACACAGCACATGACAGAGCACTGAACAACACCTGCACATAACCCCTTCCCTAAAACAGAGTACGCGTTAAACAGATTTCAGACATGTTTTAGGAAAATGGTGACACCCAGTAAGAGCTACAGGGCAACCGGACAGCAGTCACTTCACTTTACATTCTGTTTTTGGCTTTATTTTGCTGTGTTAAATGTTGCCATTGCGATATATCCAGCACACATGCTTAGAGTATGCTGCCCTCTACTGTTATAGAGACACATTTAAGCTTTCAGAAATATCAGCACATGGTGTGTTAAATGGCTGGATTATCACCTGAGCAAAGTGGACAACTGCCTCAGTGCCCCAGAGCTTTGTGGGCCAGAAGTCTCTGAGTTCACTGTGCAGCAGTTACTTTGATTGCAGTCTTCTTTGGTAATATCCAATATGTGAATTGAGGTATATACTTACATGGTTTCTGCTTTCAACTAATATCTTCTTGGGAGGCCCTGTGTCAAAATGTACTCTATTTTTCCAGTATTTTAGTTTTTTAGTTATGTATTATTTATTATAATACAGTGGTGGATGAGGTACTGAGATCTTTTACTAGAGTAAAAGTACAAAAATAGCATCAGAATGTTCCTTAGGTCAAAGTGTAAAACTCAACATGCAAGCAGCAAAGGGCTGCAAGCCAGATTTGAACTTGCAACCGCTGCAGCGAGGCAATGCCTCTGTACGCGGGGCGCAGGCACTATCCACTACGCTACCGACGCCCCACAAAGTATTCTGTTTGATAACCTGATGACAAGTTTTGGATTTTTTTTCCTGTAAAATAACAAGTAACAAGAGCTGACAAAAACATGTAGTGCAGGCAAAGTATTAAGTTATTTTCACTACTGATATTATACTTAAATTTAACTTATAGCCAAGGTGGGTTGGGAACCCCTGGAGGCTGGATTTAGGGTCCACAGCTCATTTACGCCCAGGTTCTCCTTAGTGGGTTAATCTGGCCCATTCTTGGCTTCACTACACTTAAACAGTTTGGTGTGCACCAAACAGTAGCATCCACCTGTTTGGCTGCTCAGTGTGGGTCCCAGTCCTACCTGTATTTCACGTCAAACCAGTGATTCTCTGGTACAAGTATTATCTGTCTATTTACACCCATCTCAAACACACAGGATGTATCACAAAGTCCTGAACTGTTTGTACTGTAGCATCTGCATCAACCAGGTCAGTCCATTCATCTCAAACTGTCCGTTTGTGTATGTTGAAGTAGTTTGTTGATTCAGTCTTTACTGTTCCATTCCTTGGTTGTTTGTGTCACCCAGTCAAGAAGTATTTGTTTTTTTAAACACACCTCCAGATGCACTTTCATTAAAGCTAAACATATACAGTATTATATGTACAATATACAGTATGCAACACAAAACTCTTGCATCATGTCTTAATGTTAATGCTGTTATCACAACAAACAAAACTGACAGTAACAACAATAGAGCAGTAAAATTATATTTCACAGAGGGAATTTCATTCTGTCTCTGAGTCGTCTTCAGGCAGGAATCAGCAGCAGATGTTTCTTTGCAGCCAACTGAAGAAGCCGCTGAATCCTCTCAACTTTTATGACCTTTGAAAAAGCAAAAGAGAACTCAACACAGCAGAAGTAACAGTGAACCACAGTGAATGGCCCTGATGGTTCAGACACAGGTTGACATGAATAATAATCCCTGCCTGTTATAGTGTGTTGCTGCTCTGTGACAGGAGGTTCATTTGCAGGGATCACAGGAGGTGGTGGCGCAGAAACCAGAGTAGGATCTGGTTCGGCTACTGGCTGTTCCTCTAT